GTTTAACTGCTTAGTGTGAACCATAGTTCTGGGATACAGTTCGCAATGGGAAGGGAATTTAATTAGCTCCGGCACCTTCTCCTTCAATCTTAGGTCAATGGAGACAAGTGGCACATTATCAGCGATTGCGGCCGATGAGCTCGGAAAGAAAGGGAAGACAGCGGATGGGAGGGAGGGAGAGAGAGAGGGGAAGGCAGAGATGGAGAAGCAGGTGACACGCTTTCATTCAGGGTTATACTGAGAGAGGTCGCCCTATGTCAGCTGCAGAAAGCAACCCCAATAAAAGCCCAGAATGCATTGTGTGCGGGCCTGGACCGCTTCCACCCACACCCTCCACACCACATTCACAGTAATTTAGGAATACATTTCTAAATTAGGGCTTGAAAGGTGCTAATCACCACCCACATTTGTCTACTGCTTTACAGTCTGCAAAGCAGGGGCATGATTATTGTTACATTGGATTCTTCACGACCTTGCTATGAGGAGGTTGTTACTGTAGCATTTCATAAGTGAGGACGCTGCTGAGACCTGAGAGGCGGCCACCTGAAGGAGGTCACAAGGTTTCCAGTGTCCGGGACAGAGCCTGACACCCAATTGCATGACTTTCCCCAAACCTTGGGAAAATGGCAACAAGCAAACACTGAGAGGGAAACTGAGGCAGAGACTAACATGGCAACTTGGTGGAGTCACACAGCTGACACCACCAGCTCTTAGAACACTTTAGCGTTTCAAATTACTAGAATTGACACAGTTACATAACATCAGAAAGACCTCCAGGAATTGAAGGGTGGGGAGCCGCCTTCCGGCCTTCATGGAAAGGCTGAGGACCAGGAAGGCAGCACACACAGTGGAAACCAGGAGGGGCCGGCTGCACCCAGCACAGTGACCTGCGTTCTGTGAACAGTGGCACCCCTGCACTTCGGGGAAGAGAGTGCCGCTCAGGCCCTGGAGAGCAGCCCTGAGCCACCCAGTGCATCCGAACTGCAGAAGGAGGCAAGTCCCCACTGGGCACCAGAAACAAAATGGTACAAACCTAAGTCCTGGACCGGAGCAAAGCCTGGGCGGAGCCGGGATCTGACTCCCAGGGCCAGCCGGTCTGTCCCTGGCTTTCACTGACCCACTGGGGCGTGCCCTTCTGCTCTTGAAAATGCCAGAGTGGCTGGCAGGCCTACAGGGCCCCAGACCCTGTGAGTGGCCCCTCCCAGCGGGCGGCAGGCTCAGGCTCGGAGAAGCATGTTCTGCCCAAAGGTTTGCTTACCCCCTTACCCACCCCCACCCCCTCTGAAATCCCGCAGCAAGGCCCACATCCAAACTACTGGGCCTGCCGAGGGGAGGGTGTATGTTTCTCCTCTTCCAAGTTCTTTGGCTGCATTTCATTGTTTTTCCTCTCTAGACATTAGGCCGTCCCCATGATGTGAGATGCCCCTCTTTTCTCGAATTTCCAGGAAGCACAATTGCCTCCCACGTGTTAGATTTAATGTAATTCAAACCAAAGTTTGAGGCTATTGCTCCCAATTCAGGAAAAATTGTGAGCTTGGCAACCCAAATGGAAAGAGACAAAAAAAAAATGGTAGTGGATTTTTAGGGTGTTTTTCTCATTTTGGTTGTGTGTGTATGTTTCAAAAAGTGTATAGAGAATTCAGCTCAAAAAGCAACTGCTTGGAGAGATAGAAACTCGTGTAATTCATGTTGTGCATAATGGATTTGGCAGGCCCGCGCACAGAAATTTCCAGAAGTGTTTGCGTGGCAGCAGCTCTTAGCCAATTCACATTTTTTAGCTGTCCTGGCCAGCTGCCCAGCCTACAGAAAAAGTCTTGTATCTCCACAAGTTTGGCTGGCCTCTCTGACGAGTTTCCAAACTGCATGGCAACATTGGATGAGCTTATTTTTAAGTGCCAGAAAAACTCCTGCTACTTATATTGTTACTAAATACCAGATGTGCTTAATAAAGAGCGAGCAGAGCCAAACCGAGAGTAATCAAATAACCTATCATTAACATTTTCTAAAAACAAAAAATGCAATTGGAACACGAGATTACTGTTTTTCTTTGTTTGCTTCACGCCCTATTACTGGAACCCCTAGGGTGACGGGAACGGGACTGGGGCGGAGAGGCCAGCCCTGGCAGCGAGCGAGAGAGCGAGGGAGACGCTGTTTACAGTCACACCCTGCGCATCTGAGCCGCGTGTGAGAAAGTGGGGCCCGCAGATTGCCCCCTGCCCCACGGCTCACAGCCCCCTCCCGGGGTGGGGGGGTGCTCTGCAGGCCAGGGCTTTCACCACACTGGAAAGCCCTGAGAAGCTGAGGTGCATTGGATTTGACCTTGAAGGAGAGACATGTCCAGGGGGCTGGCAGGAGGGTGCGGTGGGCCTGGCAAATGAGAGGATGTGCAAGAGTTGGAGGCTGCGCCGCTGCCGCTGGAAGGGGCAGAGGCGTTCCGGAAGGCTCCGAGAGAGCCAGGGCGCTGCGCGGCTTCCCCCGGCGGGCCTTGAAGGACTGCTTACTGCAGAACCTCCAGTTCCGTTTCCTCCGCCCTCATTGCTGTGATTTGCTCTTCCTCCCCTTCCTCCCTCTCTTCCTTCCTTCCTTCTTTCCCTTTTTCTCTCCTTCCTTTCCTTCTTTTCCTGTGGTTTTCTGGGAACCCAGTGGGAAGAAAACTGCGGCTGGCGGTGTCCAGCCTTGTGCTCTGTTCAAGGTCGCATCTCCCCCCCACCCCCGCCCCGGTGACTAGAGTCTCCAAGCCTCTATGGCTTTCACTTGTCCTGGTCCCTTCTCCAGATTCAGAGTGGAAAAGACGGCTCCTCTCGCCCCCAGGTCGGGGCGATGAGAGGCAGAGATGAGGACAGCAACGTGAAATTTTACAGACGGAGGCAGAACCTCACCACAAGAAATTGGAGAATTAATAACTGTTCTGAAAATATGTGTTACCTGCTTTAAGACAACTCTATAAATATAGGAATACACGAGTCAACCCTGCAGAGTGCCTTTGAGAAAGCTGTGACTAAACATGCACGACAACCCAACCGTGCCTCCCACCCCACCTGCCGAGCCACACTCGGCGAGGGGACGGCAGCATCGCTCTGCCGTGCGCAGCCGTTGGGTAGGCAGGCCGGGAGCTGGGTCTGGGCATCAGGGAAGCGCTCTGAACACGTCCGAGCGGCTGTGAGTAGTAGAGGAACATGGGGCTGACGTCTCCCTGTTTTAAAGTTTCCTTCTAACTGCGGCCACGTGCACCTCGCGCCACTGCACGGACCGACGTGCTCCTGCAGAGTCGGGCGGAGCCACACACTCCCCGGAGTTACGCTGTGAAGGGTCTCCGGACGCCCCTGACTCAGCTGGAGGACAGGCTGTTCGTGAGGAAGCCACAGAGGGAGTCCGTCCCCGGCTGGACTCGGCTCTGCCCCGGCCGGACTCGGCTCTGCCCCGGCCCCGCCGCCGAGGCCTTGGAGGACGCGGTCGGCAGGATCAGCACTGCTTTCATTGTCCGGTCACGGGAGGAGGAAAGGGCCGGACCCCGAGAAGGGTCAAGAGCGGGCTGTTTTGTTCTCCAGCAGCAAAACAGGGAGGCCACAGGAAACCACCCCAGCGACCAGCTCCGCTGAGGGCAAAGGAAGGCTGAGCCTGAAAACAAAAGTGGAGCGCCGTCTCCTTGGAGCTGTTTATGTTGCATAACTCAGATAAACACAGCCGTGCACGGACCGTCCCCGGCGGGGGCCAGGGCGGGGGCCAGGGCCGGGGCAGGCCCGGGGCGTCTGCTCCGGCCTCTAGTCAGAGGCCGCTCCTTTCACCCAACAGCAGTAACAATAACACACGGGGCCGAGGCGGCAGGATATCCCGAGCTCAGGCCGCAGGGAGGAGCCCTCCCAGGACGGGTGAGGAGGCGCCTCCCTTTTCTCTGGCTCAGGAAATCAGTCCTTATCAGAGTGACGAGAGGAAGCAAAGCTGACACCAGAACGGTTCCTTCCATTGGCAGAGGAGGGGACCCCCGCCGCCGGAGAGAGCCGGCAGGAGCACTGGGCTGTCCCGGGGGCACGGATGGGGGCCGCAGCTGGCTCTCCGGCCTCCAGCCCCTGCTCAGCCCGGCCAGGCAGGGCCCAGCCTCTGGGAGCCACGGGCAGTTGACATGGAGTCTGTGCGAAGAATGAAAGTGTCAAAGCTACCAACTCGGTACCTGAGCCCAGGCCCAGAGGCCCCACGCCTGAGCGAAGTCCCAGCCCTGAAATTGAGAGCAGGCGAGAACCTTCCGAAACATCCTCGCTCATCAGCAGCCTGCGTCTCCTGGGACAGCGAGCGCTGTGGTCTGCCAGGGGACGAGAATAGAAATAAAAATTGAGAACGCAGCCTCGCACGGGCGGATGGCATCAGTTGCCAACGGCTGCCCATTAGTAGGCTATGAGGACATGCAAGGGGACATTCTCTCTACGAGGCCTGTGTTTAAAAATATATCTGGTGTCAGCGCTCACCGGGGAGTGACTGGGGAGGCGCTCGTCGCCCTGTGACTCACTGCGATCACCGGCCCTCGGAGCCTGCCTCTGCGGACCAGGAGCGCTCCACCCTGCTCCAAGCACATTCAAGTCTTAGACCACGGCTCTGGAAGCCACCCTCCAAGTTCTTCCTCCCCGGTGCGCTTGCTGGACACACGCAAGGCCAGGGGGACGGGGGCTCAGGGACACACTGCACTGACCCCCTTGCTCCGTGGCTGTGTCCCTAGAGACCGTGTGTCTCCCTTCCCCTATTCTCGAAGGAGGACTAGGGTTCCCACCCCTGTCCCAAGCACGTGGAAGAGGAACAGCTAATGGAAGTGACTTAAAGCTCTTGGCAAACGTAAAGGTCAAGATCAGGTGCTGAGCGATGCCTCCCTCGCCTACCCTACCTGACACGCTGCCCAGGTGCCCCTCTGAAACGCTCTGCTGACACGCCGCCCTGGGGCTGTGCAGCTGGCTGTTGCTGCAGGGGGTGGGGGTGGGGGTGGGGTTGCCGCTGCAGGAACCACTGAGGTGCAGGCGTGTCCGAACATGTGGCCAGGTGGAAGGCGCCAGGTGACGAGCTGCAGAGGCTGGGAGGCTGCCAGGACCCACCCCTGGGCCCCCGGGGCTTGGCACCCCTTTCCCGAGGGAGGTGGATGTGAACAGATCAACATGGCAGGGTCAAGTTGGAGTCTGCCTGAGCGAAACCCTGGGGACTGCTTCTCGAAAAACAACTGGGACAGGGGGGCAGCTGTGTAAGGATGCCGCCGGAAAGGGTCCCTGGGGGAGCTCCCCAGGGAGCGGTGTGCGTGGGGGAGGCTGTGGTGAGCCACGTGGAGGACAGACAGCAGGGGTGGGCCCCGGCCCAGGTGAGCCCCAATTAGCCAGGGGTCACGAGCAGCGCGCAGGTGTGAAATCAGCGGTAACGATGGTGATGGTGACGACGGTGACGACGACTGTCCCTGTGGGTAGTGGGGCCTATTGCACAAGAGGTGGTGGGTGGAGCCTCAAGGAACCCTCACCTGTACCGCCTGCCACATGGGAATCTGCAGGGCTCCCGCACCTGTTTCATTTTGGGTATTTTGAACAAGACGCAAATCAGGTTTTATGGTTGCCAGGTATTTGCAGCTGCTTTAAAATCTGGTTTATTCGTGAGCAAATGGGTGGCAGGACATAAAGACCAGAACGATGGGGAAAATCTGTATCTGAAGGGGTGACACCACGGGGGTGAAAGGTGAAAGCGGCCACAAGACACCCCCAGGTGTGTGGGAGCCGCCACCTCTGAAGCAGCCAGGTGAATGCCTTCTGCAGAAGCCCCTGGACTTGACTCCTGGCTTGGCCACTGCCTAGGCGTGTGAATTGGGGCAGGTCAATTAACCTTCGTGAGATTCAGTGGCCTTGCCCATAAATTAGAGTTGATGACCTACCTGTCAGGATGCTTAGGGGTGGTCAAAGGAAGAGGTAACCCCAGGTAGCGCAATGGATGTGAGCTGAAACAGCAAAATCTGAATCTGTCCTATATGGTGTGACCTCTTATCTCCAGGGGTGGTGCACCTCCCAGTCCCCTGGCAGGTGGGGTTATGGAGGCCTCCTTCCTCAGCCCTGGGAGCAGGGGCAGAGTCCAGAAGTCAGCTGCCCCCCGCCTTCCCCGAGAGCTGTGACGGAGCCCAGCAGCTTCTGCGCGCCCCCTGTAGCTGGAGAGCGGGCTGCAGTGGGTGGGCTGTCTGGGTGGGCTGTCGGCGTGGGCCGTCGGTAGCTCGCAGTTCACAGATTTGCCTGCGTTTCTCTTGGGCCCGTGCGGCTCCCCGCTGCAGAGGGGCACACCCTCTCCCGGGCCCCAGCCACCGGGGGAAGCAAGGGCCCAGAACGAGCACAAACAGGAGGACCGAGGGCTCCAGGGAGAAGGAGGCTCATTGTTTTCTTTCTGGATGAATCTCTGGGCTGCAGCCGCCGCTGCGGCGAGTCCCAGGACTGCAGCCAACCTGTCTGCGCTGGGGCTGTCTCGGCCTGCTCTGTGGAAAGCCAAGGCTCTCACTGTCACCTCTGGGCGCCCTGCCCTTTCTTCGGGGCTCACAGATGCGGCTCCTCGCGGGCTTTGGGTTCCGAGTCTCTCCGGTGCCGAAATCCAAGGTCCCGTGACATCTGTGTCGGTCGGAGCCCCCCGCCGCCACCCGCGCAGAGGGCAGAGCGGGGGCGGCGCTGGCCCCGCGCTGGCCCCGCGCTGGCCCCGAGGAGGTTTCTCGGTGGCACCGCACGTGGCGGGTTTCTCATCCGCACTCCCCATCGCCAGCCCGCCCGGCCAACGACAGCGGCAGCGCGAGCGTGAACGGGCTTGTCTGACAGGCCCGCGCTCCCCCCGGGCGCCGCTGCCCGCCTTTGAGAGAGGAACCCCGGGCAGAGACGGTGATCTTACACTGATCCTTTGCTGCAGTTTGCTGGGGGCTTTGAAACGCCGCGTTTCCATCGCCCCCGCTGCGCGCAGTGAGGGGGAAGATGGGCCACGCGTGCGGCTGATGCGTTTGTAATAGACGCGCACCGAGGCCCCGCTCAGCTCTGAAGCGACTGCCCTCGGAACCGCCCGGCAGGCTGAGGAACTCCGCGAGCCACACACAAGCACATTCGCAGAATCCACAGCACCTCCCCGGCTCCGGCAGGAACGGCGGGCTGCTGTCTGAAGCCTTGGGTGGGCCAGCTCCCTTATGCAAGCCCTTATTAGAATGTCTTCATGCCCCCCCTGCTGCGTGAATCCGTTGGGGTGGTTTTAGGCAAACCCCAAAAGTAGGAGGGTCTGAGTCCGGGAGTCAGCGAGGGTCCGACAGGGCCCGGCTCAGTGTGAACTTCCTCTCCGGTGAACGTGAGTGAATGGGTGTGGAGGCCAGCGGGGAAAGAGTCTCCGGGCCGGCGGGGCTGGCGGGGCCGGCGTGGCGGTGCTGGGAAGGACAGAGGCCCGTGGCTGGCCCAGTGGACACAGCTGTGCCCTGTTCAGCGGCAGGAAGGGACGACTCTCCCTGACCCGTAAATCTGCTGTGGACACGTCCCTGCATCACCTGCCTGCACTCACCTGGAGGCCACACTGCCCGGCACCTGATCCTTCTTCCTGCCGATGGCCTGCACTGCTTCGTGCGCAGTGATTCGGCTCTGGGTTCCGGCTGTACGACGGTGCAAAACTGACACGCGTTCAGGGGAAACCGAACTTGAAATTCTGAATTTCGATCTCTTCCCGGGCTGGCGGTGTGCCTATGACACCCTCTGGTGATGCTGCTGGACGGCAGGGCGAGGGCCGCTCCCCACTTGCCAGGTGTCACGACGGCCGACCACAGGGGCAGGGGAGTGCGAACTGTCGGCGTCTCTGGGCCGCCCTGGAAGAGGGAGAGTCGTCTTGGGCCACTCAGTCCATGCATGGCGACACAATTACCAAAAAAAATCTCATTGTCATGTTTTAAGTAAATTTATGATTTTGTGGTGGGCCGCATTCACAGCCTTCCCGGGCTTCCCGCGGCCCTTGGACCGCAGGTTGGACACCCTGGGTGCATTTGCTGTGTCAGAAAATCTCACCCAACCGTGGGCTGGTGGGAGTGTTCTGGCACGCGTAAGGTGGGCTGGGCTAGGCTATGACGTTTGGTAGGTGCATTTCGTGCATTTTCGATTTGTGACGGGCTTGTCGGGACAAACCCCATTGTCAGTCGAGGATCGTCTGTACTGTATCTTGTTCCTCACCGAGCGTATCAGTTCCGTGGGGGCAGGAAGCCATTCCCAGCCCTGTAGCTATAGGCCCTGCAGCTTCTTCCCGGGGCTGAGCCCGAACCAGGACCCAGTGACCGCCTGGAGTAGATCAGGGGCCCCCACACAGCCCTCAGGGGGCTTCAGCGGTGCCCACGAGCTTGTACAAGGCCCGGCAGGGCACTTCCTGGCGGAGAAACCCCAGCTCGTTCTTGGCGGGACATCAGGGTGTGGACTCTCTATCCCACCTGCCTTCTGTCCTCCGGCCGTGGCTCCACCCCTCTGAGCGAACTGAGTGCTCTCGGGCCTCTGTGCTCCGCCGGTGCCGTCCCCTCCGCCAGGCTGCCTTTCCTTCCTTCCACCCACGGACTTGTCCTTTTAGTTCCAGGTCCACCGTCCCCTCCCCATGGACCTGCCAGGGTCCCTTGGGCACCCTGACGCCTCACTCTGTGGGTCCAGTGCACCTTCTGGAGGCCTGACGGGGAGGCTGGGCCGGCCGCATTGCCATCGGGGTGGCGCTGTCCGCTTGCAGGGGTGCCTCTCGTGCGTACCTGAGGGCTGGACCCCCCAGCTCTCAGCTCTCAGCCCGTGCCTGGCACTCGGGAAAGGGTTGTCGAGTGGATGGGGTTTCCACCCTCAGCGGCACGGGGCGGCAGCACGGGGGCCCAGTATGCCACATGGGGACAGAGCAGAGGGGGCCCCACTGAGAGACGGGATGGACGCTCCGGAGAGAAGGCCCGGAGCCGCGCCTGAGAAGCTGGGCAGCCAGGGTCCATCTTAGGCACGATGTTTTGCGGCGAGGGGGTGATGTTTGCTTCCCGGTCCCCCAGGCCCACTTTGAGAACTTGCTCCACTTGGGGGGTTTCTCCGTGTTTCATGTCCAAATCTGCACGCAGCCATCTCCTCACAGCCTCCAGCACTCCACAGGGTCTGCGGAGGAGGACGGTGGGGTGGGGGCGTGCGGCAGGGTGCTGGGTGGGGGCCGGGAGAGGGCGGTGTCTGCCCTGGATGCGGGGAGGCTGGGGCGAGGGTGGTGAAGAGGGTGAACCCCAGCGGGCTCCGGTCCCCGCCCACCCGTGTGGCGCGGTGAGATCTGGCTTTCCAGAGGACCCAAGTGCGCAGTGTCCTCGCTGAGAGCCAGCGGTCACCTGGGGGAAGGGTCCAGGCGAGCCTCAGACACACCTACGCCTGAGACAGCTCACGTACCTCCCCTCGGGGAGAGGATAGCGGTCACTGCTCGGGAGAGAGCTAAGTCACCCTGGGGGACTCAGGAAGTCACAGAGAGACACGGTCCCAGAACCTCGGCATCGCAGGGCCTGGGAGGGAGCTAACAGGTCACCTGGGCCCAGCAGCCCTTATTTTAAGAATGAAAAATAACCCCAGTTAAAACAAAGACTTTCACTCACCCACTGTTTCTATGCTGGAACCCCAAATGAATGCAAATTTGAAGATGAAATCAAAGAAAAGTGCCCTGGCTGGTGTAGCTCAGTGGATTGAGCTTGGGCTGTGAACCAAAGTGTCGCAGGCTCGATTCCCAGTCAGGGTACATGCCTGGGTTGCAGGCCGTGACCCCCAGCAACCGCACATTCATGTTTCTCTCTCTCTCCCCCCGCTCTCTTCCCTCTGTAAAAATAAATAAATAAAATCTTTAAAAAAAGAAATCAAAGAAAAGCTTTTTTAACCTACGACCAGTGTTCATTTGCTAGGATGTCTTACTGACTGAGTTGTGGACGTCTGGGGTGTCCATACGTCCATCTGTCCATCCACCCATCTGTCGGTCCATCCCTGCCTTCACCTAGGGCTCACCCAGTGAGAGACTGAGGCAGCCGCAGGAAGATCGCAGCTGCGGTTTGCTCCGTCTCTCCTCTGTCCCCGTTGTTCCTCCTCCCCCCGGGGTGAGCGTCTCAGTGGGGCATGGTGCACATGTGACAAAGGCCGGGGGCAGCCAGTGCCACGGCGGTGCTTCTGAAACCCTCCAAGCCTCCCGCACGCCTGTGGTGACTGTCACCAGCCAGGACGGCCTGACAGAGCCTCTGATGGAAGGGACCTCTGTGAAGGTCCCAAAATAACAAAGGGCCGAAAACAAACCTTTCTCTCGTCCTCACAACACCTTCCAGTGTCCGAACAGGGGGCGCGTGGGTGCAGCTGGGGACACAGAAATATAAACGGGCCCCACCAGAAACTGCCAGGCCAGGACGTCCAGCCACCTGGCTTCTGCTGGGGGTCACGGAGTGAGTTCGATGTTGCGGTTGGTTGGGAGAGGCACTGGGTGCATCTGTGATCAATAACGACGTTCCTTTTTACAGGAGCTAAGATAAGGGTAATTAAATCTTGGGCTCCAGGCCATATAAACCGATCTCTGCAGAAGGGCAAGGATCAGTTTAATTCCACGGGCCCGACCTCGCCCAACCCTTCAACAGGGTGGCATCACCGACTGGGTGCATGCCGGGAAGGCCCAGGGAAAGCAGACAGATTTGCTCCAAGCACCAGGCCTTAACCGCCGCGCCAATCAGGAGCACGGACGCCGCGGGCCTCGAGGCGGATGCAGGGTGGCAAATCCAGAGCTTCACTCGGCTTTTCTCTGCGCTTGGTTTATTACCCGCAATCTGCATCGGGGCTGCTCTCGCACTTAATGGCAGCCCTGAATCACTATCTATTTCCCATCTTCTCCTGCAAAACAGCAACCCCGAGCTGGAGCTTGCCATCAATACCGGGCCCCATAAAGCCACTGCCGTATAGATGCGCCTTTTTGTGCGTGTGGGTCTGATTCACTAGCGCCTTGGCAGCCTGCCAGGCTCCGGGAGAGGAAAAAACCATCCGGAGCATCCCAACAGCCTCATTTTGATCTGTGATGCCCAGCAACTCATTTCCACTTCACAGGCTCTGCTGCGAAAGACAAATCCCAGACGCGCAAGGGGCGGGAGGAGAGGAGGGCTGGGGCGGCTGGGAGGAAAGGGCGGTGGAGGAGGGCAACGGAGGGAAGATGAAAGCAGAAAAGGGCCGCGTTTATTAAGCTGTTTTTCTTTTGGTGAAAAGAAGCATTTATCAGTGATTTCATAGATCATGTGAGAGGTGGCTTCCTGCCAACTTCCAAGAATGCAAACAACCCGCTGACATCATATGCTAAAAATAGCCTGGGCTTTGCTTTAGGTGAATAAATAACCCCGGGAAAGGACTAGCTTCTCTTCAGTTAGATGTTTATTATGATCAGGCTGTCAGGCTTGTTTAATCAGTAAAATCACGCTCAGTTCCAAGGAGAAACGGGGCGCAGAGAACCCCTCAACCAATTTCGGGAGGTGGCTGAGGGCACCCTATTCCCGTTGCCCTCCCGGACAGCCAGCTGGGCCTGGCTCTGGTGGGGGGTGTGTGATTCAGTTGTCGGGGGTGCTCAAAGCCCTGGTGTGTGTGTGTGTGTGTGTGTGTGTGTGTGTGTGTGTTGCATGTCCTCACAAATAAGGGAAGGACACTGAACACCACCACAGGCTCAGGTGTGGTCACGAGCTCTTCCTGAGGCCGGGGCAGAGGTGAGAGGCCACCGGGGCGAGCGTGGGGCGAGGCTGAGGTGCTGACGGCCGCGGCACTGCTGAATTCTGCAGGCCGTCAGCCGAGGATGCTCCTCCAATGGCGACTGGACAGCCTCACCCCACAGCTCCAGGCCTCTGTGGCGTTGATGCCACCCCCGCCCCAGCTTTTGCGTTCCGCACATTGCATCGAAGCCACCTGAAGAATTAGGATTTGTAATGAGACCTGAGACTCCTGCCTCACGTACTGCACTACCTCCTCCCTGCTCAGCCCCAGGCTCTCGCGGAGGAGGGGGAGCCATCCTCAAGGGCTTGGAGGTACTTGGAGGAAGAGGCAGCTGGAGGGAGAAGAAAGGACACGAAAATTAGCGCAGGGAGATAAGGAGCCTGAGAATCAAAATAGCTACTGGAAGGTGTTGGATCCCTACTCACGTCTGCAAGATTTCTCTTCACAGGCAGGGATACAATAGAGGTGGTTACTATGGAAACGGGTGTAAAGGCAGCGCAGAGAAAGGAGAGGGCTGGATATAAAGAGGAAAGAGGAAAAGGCACATAACACTTTTAAGCCATCAAAGAGGAATACTACGGCAGGCACTTCTCGTCTCCTGCAGGGAAAGAAAGTTATTGAGCTTCCATTCTGGGAGGGGGCAGGGGCTCTCAGGCGCTGTAATCCTTCCCCCACCAGCCTGGCCACGGAACCGGCTTTCCTGCAGCTCGCACCCTGGACAGAAAAAGCCTCTCCAGGTTGCTCCGGGGGGCGGACTGTGCAGGAGACTGCATGCCCCGCAGGGTTTGGTCACGCAGCTTTCGGAACGACCTTGGGGAGCAGGTCATTTTTCTGGTTGTTCATCACCTGCCCTCCTCCCAGACAGGAATGACGAAGCACTTTGCTGAAGAAAGGAGACGTGGTGCTGTTGGAGGCAGAGACAGTACCGAGCGCCCAGAGCCCCACGTCCCCCAGAGGAGACGTGTGACCTCAGCCAGTGCCCGGAGAGCATCCCGGCGGGGCCGGGACAAGGACAGAGGCCCGAGCCGCGCTCGCACCCCGCCAGCTTCACTCTGCTCTGTGTGGGCATTGATGAGATGAAAGCCTTTCCTTGGCCGGAGGGGCAGTTTAACACGGCATGCGTCTTCCGTCCCGGGGCTCAGGGACGCGGGCTGTGGCCCTCGGTGCGTGCCGACGGAATGGGGCGTGAGCCACAGACGTCACTCACCGTTGTCCCGCGGCCACGTTGGACCAGGAACAGACCAAATGCATTTTAATGCAATTTATATCACCCCGATATATACAAGATACGATCATTTTGATATTTTATGTCCTTTTCTCCCTGCTAAGTCTTCGAAAGCTGGAGCGTGTTTCACACTTAGAATACACCTCAGTGGCTCACATTGTGGGGGCTCGTGGTCACGTGTAGCTAATGGCTGCATACTGGGCAGCACACCTCTAGAATTTTCCATCAGAGACAGGAGAAATACAAAGTAGGACCAGAAAACAGGTCTGTTGGCTCAGACGCTGATTCTAACCGCTTGCCCATGTCACTGTGCAAGCGAACACACACACACACACACACAGCAGATGGTCAGTCTCCGTGTTCCCCTTTGCCGTTGAACTGTGGCCGGTCTGTGACGAAGATGAAGGGATTCCACTGAGCAGCCTCAGTCCCTGGCCCAGGGACATTAGACAGACGCAGGTCAAGCCACATGGCTGCCCCGTCCTGAGACAGTTTCTGAACCTTCCCGACTTTTCCTCCACGGTGAAATGGGACTCCCGTTAGGTCCCACGGTTGCTCATATTAGGGTCAAAAAATAAACTGCCCAACGCTGTGTCTGGCACAAGACAGGCGCATTCACTCAAAGCACTCAGTAGGCATTTATGGAGCACCTACTGTATGCAGAGCACTGCTCTAGACACAAAGACGCCGGGACGGGTCCCTCTCATCCAGAAGCCTGGGTCTGCAGGAAGAGAAGGACGGTCTGTACTGACAGGAGTGAGGGCGACAGCAGATCTGCGTGGAGCCCAACGAGAGCCCGAGAAGAGCCCTAACTCAGCTGGGAGGCCGGGAGGACCGTGGAGAGGGCGGTCCCTGAGCAGACCCTTAGAAGGGTGGGAAAATGCAGGAGGAGCACTAAGGCAAAGTGGCAGCGATCCGGCCTGAGGCCACCCTCTCAGCCTCTGCATCCCCAGGCACGGTCCAGCAGCCTTGGCTGACTGCCAAGATGGGGTTCAGGCTGGATCTCAGTCCCCCGAGCGAGCAGAGCCCCCCAACACCACCGTCAGACAAGCAGCCCTGGGGCCTGCCTGACTCCCGGCCTCACCTCCGGGGTGGGAAAATGGTAGGTCGCAAACAGTGGCTCCACTCGAGACAAGTGTAAGCGTGACGAGCCAGGAGCACTCGCCCTGCTGTTCCAGCCATTGCTGGTTCTTTCACTGTTGAAAGTTTGGCGTGCACCCCAACTTGCATCTGCAGAGGACCAGTGTGTCCTTGTGAGGACAGGCCTGTGTGCCTGCTGGGGACAGACGGGTGCTCCCGCTGGCCGGCCTGCTGCCCCCAGGGCCCATCGGATGTGCCCCGGCTGCCGCCCAGCCGGTGGGGAAAAAAACAGAGCAGAGCGTGTTTCCAGCAACTGGGAGCCGTTGACCGGACTTACAGCCTGGACCGGCGAGGAGTCCACTGTAGCCTGCGGGCAGGAAAAGGGCCAGACCTGCACTCCCACGGGCCCGCAGCCCTGGACACTGGGTAACTGAGCTCCTGAACACGGAGGCAGGACTGGGCTCCAGACCCCTCACGCACGCCCAGGGATGGAAACGTGGCACGGTTCTCCTCGGGACTCTGGTTTCTCCCCGCCTTTCCTATTGTTTCCAGATGTCGGAGAAGGAACACGCCTTCTCGGGCAGACCTCTCCGTCCTCTGGGTGATTTGCCACCCGACCCCTCATCCGCACTGTTCTGAGCCTTACAGGGAATATTGACAGCAGATGCCCCCGGAGTCACTAACCACCCAGCGGTCGGGGGCCATCTTCGGTTCTGGCACCAAATGGCCCCAGATTCCAGGAAA